GTGTGTGTGTGTGTGTGTGTGTGTGTACCTGTAAGAGTCCCGGGATGATGTCGGGCAGGAGCTGAATCAGGGAATCCTGGGGAATGCGCTCGATTACTTTGGTCTGCATTTTAATAGCGGCGAGGTTGATGGGATAGTCGGCCGTCTGGATGATGGGACACAGGACTTTGATGCACTGCTCCGAGTGGATGGATCCGGCCAGCGTGGACGCCGTTTCTTCTGCCGCCCGCACCACCTGTGGAGACACGAGACACGACCGTCAGACAAACAGCACAGAAGAGTGACGTTAAAAGAGAGAATGATGGATCTTAGAGCAGCGCTTCTCAACTTTTTTGACTCGAAGGCCCTACATTGTCCTCCGCAATATTTCAAGGCCCCCATGTAGACTAATATGTTTCTGTAAATACAAATTTTTGTTTTCAAAGTTTTTGATTTATATAAAATATATTTCAGGGTTATTACAGTTAGCAAAAACTAAAATAGTTAAAAAAGCAAAACATTTAATATAATATAATAAAATATAAAAATTATTTTATTTCAGCAATGCCAAGTCAACATTTCTCAGTTTGATTTAGTTTAACTTTATATACTAAAATAGCAGAAACTAAAATTGAAATAAAAATTAATAAAAGTTATACCGACATATTAAAAAAAACTAAAACCTTAAAGAATTGTATTCAAAACTAGTCAATGATACTAAAATAAGTAAAAATAAGTAAAATTATTATAATTAAAATTAAAACAATTTAATTTCAAGATTTCAGAAGTTTTAAGAGCTGAATGATCTTCAGGTACTATAACAGATTTTGTGAATATTTTGATTAAGAATTTAATGTAATGTAAATTAATGTAATTTAATTTAAGTTAAAGTTTTAGTAATTTTATTGTGCATTTTTGGCATTTCATTAGTTTTAATAAAGTTTTTTTTTTGTTGTTGTTATTTTAGTATTTCAACTTGATCTAAATAGAAATGAGAAATGCCTTGGCAGCTAGCTGAAATAAAATAAGTGTTTTCTTTTAGTTTTAGTTCATGATAATAACCCTGAATGAGGCTTCCTCATACATCATATATATATGAATCCTGGTTATAATATATATACATATATATATATTTTTTATTTTAAAAAGATTTTTTATGTTTTTAAAGAAGTCTCTTCTGCTCACCAAGCCTGCATTTATTTGATCCAAAATACAGCAAAAGCAGTAATATTGTGAAATATTTTTACTATTTAAAATAACTGCTTCTGTCTGAATTTATTTTATTTATTCCTGCGATTTCAAAGCTGAATTTTAGCATCATTACTCCAGTCTCGTGATCCTTCAGAAATCATTCTAATATGCTGATTT